AAGAGGAGATCCCCGACGTCCAGGCGAAGGTTACGACATGTCTTGCTCGACTTCTGAACCTCCCCAGCGCTGCCAGTCTCTTGCTTCCTAGGATTCGTTATTTTCTCCCTGGGGCCCACATGCCTGTTGCCGAACGTGTAATTTTACATATGAAACTCGCCTCCCAGAAGTTCGGGCCATTCGTTTGCACTGCCATCCTTAAGTCTGTGTGCAATGGATGGCCGACCACACGCAGGTACAGGATGTGCACACGACCGTGCAGGTTTGGCTGCGGCGTGGAGGCGGGAGACAGGATCGATCATTATTTTAGTTGCCCCCTCGTTGTCTCCCTCTTGTGTCGTCTGTTCCGTCCCCTTCCCCGTTGCTATCCTCAATGGGATTTCTCGCGACGCATTTTTGTACATGATATTAGCTCTCTAACGATGGAGGGGCTGCACGCTTGTCTCCTGATGCATGATATCCTTCTCTCTGTTTACAACGCACTCCGGATACAGGATCGCCAAGGCCCCGACGGAGTCGAGAGCATGATCCGAGCTCGCGCCAGAGCGATCGCAAGACGGTCGGCTCGTGCTCGTGCGACGCTCTCCGGCTAGCTTGTGGGCGATGTATGATTCCTTGAGTGCTTGGTTATAGCCCCCATGAGGGGAAGCGGACATTGGCCCCCGGACGGGCTCCCTTGAGGCGGTGCGCTCATCATCATCATCATCATGATCATCATCATCAACATCATCAACACCACAACACCATCGTCAACAGAGCCTCGCTTGTGAGTGGATTGCGAGGAAGTCTCAGGCGGGAGCCCCCTTCCCTATGGGGCCCGCCGCTTATGTTTTTAATCCGACGCGGGTCATCGGCCTCTTGTAATTGTCGTCACTTTTGGGCCCCTGAGGCCTGAATATGGAGGAGTTATCAGGCGAGAGCCTCGTGTGTGAGTGGATTGCAAGGAACTCTCAGGCAGGAGCCCTTTCCCTATAGGGCCCGCCGTTCATGGTTTTCTTTTATCCGGGGCAGTTCATCGGCCTCTTGTAAATGTCGTCACTTTTGGGCCCCTGGGGCCTGAATATGGAGGAAGTATCAGGCGGGAGCTTCGTCTGTGAGTGAATTGTGAAGAAGTCTCAGGTGGGAGCCCTCTCCCTATAGGGCCTGCCGCGCGTGTTTTTTTATCCGAGCGTGTCATCGGCCTCCTGTAACTGTCGTCACTTATGGGCCCGTGGGCCTGAACATGGAGGAAGTATCAAGCGGGAGCCTCGTCTGTGAGTGGATTGAGGGAATGCTTCAGGCGGGGGCCCGCAGATCAGGTTTTTAATCCGGAGCGTGTCATCGGCCTCTTGTAACTGTCGTCACTTTTGGGCCCCTGGGGCCTGAATATGGAGGAAGTATCAGGCGGGAGCTTCGTCTGTGAGTGAATTGTGAAGAAGTCTCAGGTGGGAGCCCTCTTTCTAGGGGGCCCGCACGTAACGCTTGTGATCCGAACGGGTCATCGGGGTTTATCATGACGCACGCGTCGTACCTCACCTTCCCGCTGTCGCTGGGCCAGGCGCTGCGCAAGGGCGTCACCATCGACTGCGCGATGGGCGGGGACACTGGTCGCACGGGCACGTCGGACTATCAGTGGTGGCTGCACCTCTACGTCATGTTCCCCCGCGCCACCTGCATGCGGAACATGCTGACCTTGCGGCCGCCGCCGCGCGAGTTCCCGGAATGGGGGCCGCCTGCATCCTTGCGGAAGGCACTCTGACGATCTATTGATTTGGCCCGTGCGTGACACACCTGTGCTGTCGGATTGTCAAGACGTTTCGCGTTGCAGCCCAGACGTGGGTTCTTTTCGCTTCGCGGGGTGCGCGTCCGGATTGCGAAGGGCGCGGGCGTTTGGTTCGTTTTGGAAGATGTTTGGCGCTTCTTGTAGGCACCGGCGTCATGAGATGTGCCTGACTTTTGGGAGAGCCCCAAGCAATCCTCGGGCGCGCTAGGGTCGCATGGGTCCTTCGAGAGCCGTATCGGAGACCGTTCCTGTGCCCAGTTCTGCAGCGAAGTGAAGTACCTGAGAGGAAGAGGTGCACTGGACCTCGCCGCGTGCGTCGAGCTAGGTGCAGCATGTCAACGCTTCGTCGAAGGACCGCCTGTGCAAGCGTCGCACACGCGCGGAGGACCAGCTTGCGGAGCTGTTTGATGAAGGTTTCCGTGCAGTGCGCAAGGATGTTTTCGCGCACCTCAGTGAGTTTTCTTGAGGAACTATTGGCCTCTGGGAGGTTGTTCGATGGTTTTGTACGGCCTCGTGGGGCCATGTCGGTCCGTTTGGGGGGCGCCTTGGCGGGTTTGGAGCCCTTCTGACACCTCCGGAGGCCGTCTTGGGGGGTTATCGCGCCGCCCTGCGGCGTGCTTGGGGTCCTCTCGGGCCTCTTTGGGGGCCTCCTGGACCTTGTTGGGGGCCGTCTTTGGTTTGTCCAGGGCTGTCTTGGGCCCCTTCTGGGGGGTTGTCGGGCCTTCTTGCGGCAATTTTGTTGAGAGCCGAAGCAGGCGAGAACAATACAACCCGCCAACAACTTATGGACAATCAATGAGTTTGGTTTCTGGAGGCGCTGTTGCGGGTGCTCCTGGGGCCCTCTTGGGCTATCTGGAGGGCCCCATGGGCCCTGGATGGGCCATCTTGGGTTGTTTTCGGTTGCCTCCTCGCCCCCCTCCTCCCCTTCCTCTCTTTCCTTTTCCCCTCTTGCTCCTCCTGCGGCGCATTGGCTTCCCGACCTCCCTCCTCGTAGTGTTCCGCATGTTCAATGTTCTGCTCCTCCTCATGCTCTCCCCCTCGCTTTCGTCATCCCCCTACTTGCTTCCCTTCCACAGTAATTCAATATGAATACCACTCTCTTCTTTCTCCTGAAAGTGGCCGGAGAGTAGAACGACCCTCTCCGCGCATTGTGTTTCACACAAGAATTCATTGGTTGGATGGTTGTTTCAACTCGGCCGCGCCCTGTGTCTCACGTCGATGCTACCGCTGCAGCGTGGGCCTGATTTTCGGATCGGCGTTTTGCTCCCATCGTTCAGAATGGCGCTCTCGCCCTAGCGCGCGCCACCTGTCTGGATCCGAAAGTGTCCTCGTCCTTGTCGCCCCGCTCCTTTCCCCTCTCCCGCTTCCCCGTGGCAACCTGTTCCTCCCGCTTGTCCTACTCCAGCTCCTGCTGATGCTGCTGATCCTCCTCGTCCTTCGTGCCTTCATCCTCCTGCTAATCCTCCTGCTCATCCGTCACCTCCTGCTCGACTCTTCGCAGTTCCCTCATTCCGATTGCGCACGACACGATGGGATCCTTGTTGGAAGCCCAGGTGAGCTATGGCGCGCGTCGGCGGATAGAACAAACATGTGCGCAACGGGAGGGGATGATCGGAAAAAAAGGGTAGAATATGGCGCGAGCGCAGCCAGCTTGCCCGTCGCCCTCTTCCCAGCTTTCCCTTCCTCCCCTCGTTCTCGCCCTGCCTCCCGCCCCCTCATATCCACCCACCCTGGGGAGGAGCACCAGAGCACAGCCTGATGGGATCACAAGCCCCTCCTACCTTCGCTCCTCCCTCCTCCTCCATCCCCCGTTCCTTGCCTTACTCCGCGTTCCTCCCTCCTCCTTTTCATCCTCATCCCACTCCTCAGCATACCTTCTCCTGCTCAGCCGCCTCCTCCTCCTCTGCCCTTCTTTTCCTTCATCCCTCGCTCCTCCCGTATTCCCCCCCCCCACTCGCTCCTCCCTCTATCCCTCGTTGCTCTTCGTTTCTCCATTATCCTTTCCTCCCTCCTCCTCGATTCTCCCCCCCCCCCTTCTCGGCAGCTTCGGGCCAGATCACGGGAATCCCACGCACCCATTTGGGATGAGAGGGTGAATGGGGGCAGCGAGAAGGGGACCATTCGCCCCAGCCCACCCAGGAGCGGCCCAACCAGGAACATCCAGCGCCTCTCTTGCGTCACATCCGCCCCTCACCGCGTCCGCTCCTCCCGCCAACGGGCCTCGTGGCTGGACCCCGTGAGCGGGCTCGAGCATGGTGTCTTGAAGCGGCTCGGGGAGGGGGGGGGGGCATATGCCGACGCATGCTATCAGCGGGAAGATTGAGGAGCTGAGGAGGAAGACGAGGAGGGCGACGAGGAGGAAGAGGAGGAGGAGGAGGAGGAGGAGGAGGAGGAGACCGTCCATCATTCCACTGCTTCTCCGAGTTCTTGTTTGGCCAGGCTGGCGGGGCCTGCGCGCGTGGGCGCGAGTGACGCCACGCGTGCCTCGATCGCTCAGCGGCCTGCCCAAGAAAGGAGGAGACGTTAGAGTTGGAGGAGGGGGGAGGCGGAAAGCATGAGGGAAGAGGTGGAGTAATGGGGGGGGTACCATCATCAGATCGCCTTGATACATTTCGGTGACAGTTGCAGCTGCTGGTTGGTGAGATTGGAAGAAGCCAGGGCAGGAGGACGAAAAGGAGAAGAAGGGCAGCGGCGACGGTGACGAGTGGGAAGAAGAGGGGGGCGAAAGAGAGAGAGAGAGAGACGGACAGCTATTTATATACATATATATACAGGGAGAGAGAGAGAGAGAGAGAGAGAGAGAGAGACATCACAACCACTGTATATATGTGAATAAAAGTACATATATGTACCAATCTCTATACATGACATACGACAGAGTCAGAAGGGGAATGGAAGTGGGACGTGTTGCTCAGTGGTTGGATCGTCTGTGGTGTCTACTAGCCTGTCTTGGACTGTCTGTCAGCGCAAAGCGTGTACACATCTGTGGCACACTCCGGCCTGTTCAGCGTCGCCTCACCATAGTCAGTAGGCCATCGGGTGCACAATACTTTCTTCGGCGTGGGCACTTCTCTTCACACCAGGTCACCTCGTGCCGCCGTCACAAGCTGCACACTTGCTCACCCCATCGCCAGTCATCATCACTATAATCCATGCCAGAGCTTGCGAGCTAATCGGCACAGCGTTCGGCCAAGTTGGCTTGGTAGTGATGCCTCCGTGTCCTTCTTGTTTGGCCCGACTGCATTCTCAAGACCATGGCCTTGCTCGGGCTCCGGAGATGGTACGGCCGCCATGGCGAGAAGTTTCAGCAGTGGTTCTGCTGGGCAGCAGCCTTGCAGATGATTGCGCTGAGCAGGCAGGGTTTCCCGCCCCCGCTGCAATGAACTGCGACCAGTATTATCCGTAAGGGCTTCGCCCCCTGCCGCCGGCCCCCTCTCTCGGAGAATGGGCCATGGAAGAGCTAAGTCATGAGGCCTTGGCGCTGTCGTGAAGCAGTATCGAAACTTCATGCGAAGCCGATTCGCAATCAGCAAAACCAACTGATCACAAGAGGGGTTACCACACCTGGCGATTGGTAAGACGTGTATGGTTTACGGGCTTGGTTACCACACCTTGCGATTAAAGGGCCGAGGGAGTTCTCGCAGTTTGGGTTACCACGCCTTGCGATGGATGTGCGTGAAGGGTGGCACCGAATTTCAGAAATGTGGCAAATCCCATGTGTTTTTGGACCCTGACCCCGCGGATCTGCGTGAGGGGTGGCACCGAATTTCAGAAATGTGGCAAATCCCTGTGTTTTTGGACCCTGACCCCGCGGATCTGCGTGAGGGGTGGCACCGAATTTCAGAAATGTGGCAAATCCCCTGTGTTTTTGGACCCTGACCCCGCGGATCTGCGTGAGGGGTGTCGATTTCGAGCCCCCCCAGCAATTCAGACAACGCGCCCAGGAGACGCTAAAAATCTTGTTTGGGCCTCCCCCCCCCTCGCGCGGTCAATCAACTAGTTACAGTAACCAGCAAGAAGCAGAACTGTAACACTGGAAACTACAAGCTACAACTGGTACAGGAAACTGCGAACCCGCGCCTACAGCCTGGTGGCCCCACAAGGGGGCCGGCGGATTTTTACCAAGTCGCACTGGGGTTTCCATTCGAGACGTGCAAAGAGGTGGAGGCAACGATGACACCTCCTGCAACTGCGTCAACGCTTCCAGCCAATGCCTGTACGGGATGCCAGTGTCCTCGCGACGATACTTCTTGGAGAGGCTCTCGGTTGGGAAATTCATGGTGAGGGAAGAAAGAGGAGAAGGGACGTGGGGAGAAGTAGGGGGGGAGCAGGAGGCGTGGAAGGGAAGTGGTATGGGAAAGCCTTGGTCGCAAAGGTAGGAGCGACAAAACTCCTCCAGCCAAGTAGGGCTTCACAAAACTCGAGGGCGTTGCTTGCAAGACGCGCTCAAAAATTGTTGACAAGTACATGGCCCGTGCTCTCTCCCCTTCCTCCTCCATTTCACTTCTCTTCTCATCCTCCTCATTCTCCCCTCCTCCGTTTCCTCCTCTTCCTCCTTTTGCTCCTCTGCCTCCTCCGCATCTCCTGCTCCCCTCCCTCCTCCTCATCCTTCTTATCCCCCTTCCACCTTGCCCTACCTCCTCTTCTGGAGGCCTTTTGGGTGCCTTGGGTCCGTCTTGGGCGCCATCGTTCCACCAGGCTCTCTCGAAACGGCCCGGTGGAGCCATGTTTGGTCGATCTCTTTGGGTTTTCAGGCAGTCTTGAAGCGATGTTGGGAAGGCTTGGGCACGTTTGTGGGGATTGGGGCGTGTTGGAACCGTCTTTTGGACTTGTTGGGGTCCTCCAGTATCGTCTTGGGGCTCTGCACGGCTTTCGGAAGTACGCGTTAAGTTGAACTATGTTGGAAGTGAACGTAATATGTCCGAAATGATTTCTTGTCTTTATCGTTTGTTTTCCAGGGCCTCACGGGAGGTTTCCTTGTTCGGCTTTTCATGGGTTCGTGGGGTTTATGGCCAGTCTGAGGTTTCGGGGGCGTCTTTGGGGCCCCTGTGGGCCAGTTTGGGGGCCTTCCGGTCTGAGCCCGAGGCTGTCGTCGGTCTCGCTCGGGGCGGCCCTGGATTGTAATACGAGGGCTGGATGCGCATGACGTGGTATGCCTTGAGGGCTGGACGCAGACCCAGACCTCCAAAGTATTGCACAAGTGCGCAGGGTTTTCTCTCTGTTTTCGGCCGGGGCTCGCCGGGCCCTGGGACCGTCAAAAATGAATCCGACGAAAAGCCGGTTCCCAGGGATGAAGATTTTCAGGAACCCGACCTTTAAAAAGCACAAGACGTTATGTCTGGGGAGGGCCGGACACATGGGGCTCACTCAATAGAAGGACCTTGCTTTCGAGGGATCAGAGGAGTTGGCGTCTCTTCCTCGGCAGAAGCCCGCAGAAGTACAACGAGGCCGATTCCACTGACGCAAGGGCGGCAAAAGCAAAAGTTGCGCCCCCAAGAGATGGCAACTGTTTGTGGTACAGGGTTTCTGGAACTGGCCATCTGTGGTTGCATGTCTTTCCAGCGACCGGCCCTCGCCAGCTTCCCAGTAGGGGGTCGTCCCACGGACCGCTGGGCGGACCGGTGGGGTCGATGACCTCCGGGGCCAGGCCGCCAGGACATGAGAGGCAGGTGGGCAGGGAGACACCCGGGAAGCCAACATCCCTACCAGGTCGCCAGCCCAGCCCCGCGGGGAGCATCCAGAGAACCGTGTGGTACTGAGCTGCGCAGGGGAAGCGTCGATCCTCCCATTGGACAGGGTCCTTGTGGGGCCCGAGCTCAGTCGTGGAGCGGTAAACATGCGCATGAAGGTGCAGCTCAGCCCAGCTATAAGATGTTGTAGTTGGTAAGCCGGATCTGAATGTACTGTGTGATCTCGGCGGGTCGATGTCCTGGGCAAGAGAGCAATACATCGACCAACTCAACGGAACATACCGATTCATGGACCGGCCTGTTCCTGTCACAATCGTACCACAGTGAATACAATTAGCAATGTCAATGCATCCACATAGCATTTGATACAATACCTCGAAGAGCAATTTCACGCATAAGTAGCTTGCATTTGCGACCCCCCCTCAGAATACGACGTTGGAGTTGCGTGCGACGTGGTTGACGGAAGCGCGTTCAGTTCTCAAGCTCCTTGCATGTGTGGAGGTACTAGGTGCAAGCAAAGTGAGGTATGTACTTATAGCCCTTTTGTCGAGTTGTGCCAACGGTCGGGGGCTTTAGTACTGCGATCGCCGTGTATGTTGGGCGGTTCGCCACTCATATTCGAATATGAATTTGATACGTATTTCGATGCACCAGTATATTCCGCTGTTGGCGGCTATTATCTGTATTGGGATTACGGCTGCGCAGGCGTTATAGGCAGCCCGGCGATATGGGTCCTCGACACTGACGAGCCAGCCAGGGCACCTCGGCAGACTGATTTGGATGGTGATTCTGCTTGTAATGTCCTTGCGTACATAAACAGTTATGAGATTTCTGGTCCTCCGTCGGGGACTCAAAATTGGACGATCTCTTGCGACACTGGCGCGGACAAGGAGTCAGAGATCATCATTGAGCACCTGTATGGACCGCTTCCGGTGCGAAGGGGAAACGCAACGAGGATGAGGAGGAGGAGCAGGAGGAAGATTTTCGCCGGCATGGGAATGCTGTCGCGTGAGCGTATGGATGATCTACATGCGGCGCAGAGGGGACGAGCGAGGTCAGATTGGCGTTTGGCAGATTCTGTGCATTCTGGTATCCCTTTTGTGATGAAGCATTGTGGCCATGGGCTGGGGGGAGCGGGGAAGGGAGAGAAGGGCTGTAAAGGGGAGAGGGGGGGAGAGGGAGATTGCGGACTAGAGAGGGAAGAGGAGGAAGAGGAGAGGTGGATGGCTTGGGAGGGGAGGGCAGGGGGGGAGGGCGCGAGAAGAACCAAATATGTCAAGGAATGGGAGGGAAGGGTCCGGTCGGACGCAAGGGGGAGGGTCGGGAAAGGGGGGGGGCGTGTATGACAAATCTGCGGCTTGCAGCTGGTTTCGGCCTCACCGCCAGGCGTTTTTGCTTCTATACGCTGGCGCCTCCGGCACTGTAAGGCGCCAGTAAAACCAGTTCCCTGGGTTGATTTGCTAGCCCCTTCTGTCAGAGCTCGGACGGTCGCATTCTGCCCCGGCGAGGAGCATCGAGGAGCATCTTGGAGCACCTTGCGACAAAACAGGCGCACGACACCGAAACACGCACGAGGAATGGACGCCACAGCGACGGCAAGCGGAGCTGACCCCTGCACTCATCCGGCCCGAGGCTAGAGGGCCGCCCCCGCGCGCCGCGGCCTGGGCCGGGGAGGTGCTCGTCTGGAGGGGGCGGCGCGAGGGTCGGGAACCGGGACCGAGCGTCCGGGGCGGAGGCCTGAGGATCGAGCGTCGGGGCCCGAGGTCCTCCTCCTCCTCCTCCTCCTCCTCCTCCTCCTCCTCCTCCTCCTCCTCCTCCTCCTCCTCCTACTGCACTGGCCCGGGGGCACCCGAGTGGGTCCCCACCCCCGCCACAATGGGGGACCCCCGGGCTTTGGGGTTCAGCCCGGGTGATCTCGCTGCCCGCCACGCCACGGCAGCAAACCTGCCGGGCCCCGCCCTCCCTTCGGAGGCGGTTCGCGCACGGATTCTGGCCCGTCCGCCCTTCGACGGAACGGGCGCTCTGGCGGCGGCGGCGGCGAGGGAGAGGAGGAAGCGGAGGGGGGGGGAGGAGGGGGAGGGAGCCGGGAGAGAACCAGAAGGCGGAGGCGACGGACGCACGGCCGGGGACCCTGCGCCACCGGCACCCCCCGTTAGGCGCTCGTGCGACCGCCGGAGGCAAGGGGCGGGGGAGGAGAGGGAGGGGGAGGGGGAGAGGGAGGAGGAGGGGGAGGCGGCGCAAGAGGCAGGCAGCCAGGCGCGCTGCGCGCGGCGCGCGCCCTGCTTCAGCCTGTGGCCCGCTCCTGGCCAGCAGCCGGCCCGGCGCCGCCCCCCGGGCAGGCTGCTCTCGAGCCCGCGCCGCGGCCCAGCAGAGCCGCTCAAGTGCGCCGGGCGCGGTGGGCCGCTGGCCCGGCGCCCGCGCCGTCGGCCCCTGCCTCGCGGCGGGGCAGCCCGGCGCCCGCGCTGCCGGTGCCGGCGGCCGCCCGGCGGGGCGGGCCGCGGGCGGGCAAGCAGGCCGCGCGGTAGCTCTCGGCGTTGCCCCGCTGCAAAGTCACAGCGAGGCTTTGTCGGGCCGCCGTGAGCGCCTCAGCGTCCCCGCGCGCCCAGGTCCGGAGCAGCGCCTGCGCTTCGAGCCCCGCCCGCCCGAGGGTCTCGAGGGCGAAGGCCGTCAGCCAAAGGCCGGGGTAGCGCCTGTGCTTGCGCTCTTCCGCGGCTGCTGCAGCCGCGCCGTCGCGGACAGCGCGGCCCCGGCCCGCTGCGGAGCGGGCGCCCAGCGCCGCGTTCGTGACCACGACGTCGGCGTACGCCGGGCCAGCGGTCGGGTCGGTGTAAGCCACATCGAGCCGCGCGGCCTCGACGGTGCCGTCGGGCCCAGCTCTGTCCCAAGCGGGGACGTCCTGCTCGGTCGCCACCCCCGCGGCCCCAGTCAAGGATCGAGCATCGGGGTCCGAGGCCCGAGGGTCGAGGGAACAAGAGGCTGCACAAGCAGAAACTTTCGGAGCTCCGCGCGGATCCCTTGGATCGGCGCTGGGGCCCCCTGGCGGCGCCTCTGGCGCCGCCCCAGCGCCGATCCAAGGGATCCGCGCGGAGCTCCGAAAGTTTCTGCTTGTGCAGCCTCTTGTTCCCTCGACCCTCGGGCCTCGGACCCCGATGCTCGATCCTTGACTCTTCACCCCGATCCGCATCCTCGAGCCTCGGTCCTGGGACCTCGGGCCCCGACGCTCGATCCTCAGACCTCAGCCCCTTCTTTTCCGCTTTTCCTATAGAGGGTCGAGGGTCGAGAATGCGGAACCCCCGCCCTTGCTCGAGAGCGGCAGCGGAGCGCGGCGCCCGCCCGATGCGCGGGCGCGGCCGGCGAGCGGCGGGAGCGGCGGTCCCGGAGAGAGGGGAGAGCAGCACCTCGTGGTCTCTGGCGAGCGGCTCGCCATTGCCCGAAGAAAGTGTCTGGTCCAGATTCGGCGTTGCATTGGTGGCAAGATGATCGATGATCCCCAGGACGCGTGTGAGCCCAATGTGTGTTTACCCCGCTCAGCTCTACCAGCAGATCATTACATCACAGCTGCGTCGTATTGAACGGTCTCGATGGATCGGCGCGGGGTGTGTCAAGGGGGCAGGGGGACTACGGTTGGGCTGCACCAGAAGCTTGGCATCGCTCGGACGTGTGCATGTTCTTTCTCAGCGAGGACCCTCGAGGTGCATCCTCGACCATTTGGCAAAAAGAGCACGCACGCAACCGAAAAGTGCACGGGGAACGGACGTCCGAGCGACGGCACGGAAGCGACTGGTCGCATGAGGGGGGCTGGAGGAACATCGACAGAGTGACCCAAGGAGCAGCGAGCCCCTTCCGAGCCCAGAGCGGTCACTCTGTCGGCGTCTTGACTGCGCCAGTGGATGCCAAGATCGGTCATGTCTGGCCTGGCCTGGCTTGCAAGCGAGTTGCGTGTGCCCTAAGCGGCGGGAGCGGCGGTCCCGAAGAGGGGGGAGAGCTGCACCTTGTGATCTCTGGCGAGCGGCGCGAGGGAGCCCGTGCGGCACCAGCGGAAACCCTTCGATCGCAGGCGGTGTCTCGCCCCCAGTCCCCGACGTCCGAAGAAGAAGCTGCAGCATAAACATGAACTGTCGGAGCTCCCCGCGGATCTATTGGATCTTCGCTGGACCCCCCTGGCGGCGCCTCCAGCGCCGCCTCTGGCGCGCTCCGCGCGCCAGGGTGGGGGGCTCAGCGCATATCCAGGTTGGAGTCTGCTGTGAGTCTGATGTGGCGTAGCACTGGTTTCAGCCAGCAGGGAGAGGGGGAAGAAGTTCCAGGTTTTGGTTCGAGTTCGAGAAGGTTTTGTGCCCTTTCGTATTCTGGTGAGCGTTTTAGGACCCCAGGGCCGCAAACACGGATCTGGGGCGAAAAACTCACCAGATGGACCACGGAAGGGGTCCGGGGACCGATTTTGAGCGGATTTGCCTTTGCCCCCTATCTTCGCTGAGCTTCTCGAGGCCATAGACAGACCCCCTGGCCGCCTCCAGCCAGCGGGGAGCCTGCGCTCGCAGGCGGCGTCTCGCCCCCCATCCCCGACTTGCCCACGAAGAGTCATGCCGCTCAGCGAAGGTCGGGCCGGGCGAAAGGGGGGGATTGGGAAAGGAGGGATTGCGAAATTTGCTGCATGCAGCTGGTTTCGGCCTCACCGAGGGGCCCATTCCTCGATACATAGCCGCCTCCGGCGCCGGGAGGCGCTGGGAAAATCAGCTACGCGAGCTGATTCTCAAACCCCCCCTTTGCTATCCCCCCCTTTCGCCCGATCCGAGAAGGGGGGGCAACTCGGGGATACAGCCCGAGGGAGCTGTTCGGACGAGCCCCTGTCGAGGAGGGACGCCCCACTGTCGCATGCTCCCGAGTCGGGCCCCAACGCTTCGGTCCGTTCGAAAAATCCCCGCGAAGTCGGGGATGGGGGTAGGCATGCCCCCTGTTGTGTGCGGCACCGGCGGCCGTCCTGGCATCGAAGCAACAACCAGCGTAAAGACAAACGATCGGAGCTCGCTTCAGGGAGGGGGTCCAGCGCCGCCCTGCAAATGTTAGACGCTCCGGCCCATCCAGAAACGAGGTCCAGGCAAGTGGAGGCGATCAGGGAAGTGCGGGAGCAAAGAGTTGGACGGCCGATCCGTGTGAAGGAGGGAGGAAGAGAAGAAGGAGGCTGGATGGATGTATGAGGGAGTGGGGAGAAGAAAGATGAACATGATGATGATGACGAGGGGGAGGAGGAGGAGGAGGAGGAGGAGGAGGAGGAAGAGAAAGAGTATAAGGAAGGATGAGCAGGAGGAGGAGGAGGAGGAGGGCGAGCAAAAGGGCCAGAGGTCTCTTGGATGCCTCTCGGAACCTCTTGGGATATCGCTTGGACGGTTCTTGGTGGTCTCTTGGGACGTCTTGGGGGTCTCTTGGCGGTCCTGGGGGGGCTCTTGGGCGTCTTGGGTGCATCGGGGATCCTCTGAAGCCGTTTGGGGGCCTCCTGGGGGTCTCTTGGGAGCCTCTTGGAGGCCTCTTGGGGCCGTCTGGGCGCATCTTGGGGCCCTCTTGGGCGCTCTTGGGAGCTTTAGGGGCGCTCTTCGGGCCATCCTGGAGGCCATCGATCAAATAAGAGGGGAGCTCCAATTAGCGCCCCCCCCCCAAGAGGCCAAAATGGAGCCAAAACCATAGTTAAACTAATGATGTGGGCTTCCTCGCCGAGGCCGTTTTGGACGCTCCAATGGGTCGCGGCACCGCCCGTCCAGGTCCAGGGGAGGGGGTAGGGGGGAGGGGTAACCCCCTCCCCGGACCCTGTCCGAAGGGGAAGAAGGGGGTTGGAAGAGGAACCTCCCTAAACCACCTACGCCCTAAAGGGCTGGTGGGACTCCGCGCGGACCTCCGAAAGGTTTTGCGTATGCAGCTGTTCTGATTCTTTGGTGGCCGCCCGAACACAATGTGTAGGCAGGGATGGGTAGGGGACTGCAGGCCGTCGAGTCGACGGGAGATGCGTGCCCGTGTACACCATGGGCCACTGCAACGTCAAGCTCGACTACCTTGACGGTCTGGCGAGTGCTGGAGAGAGTGTCTTTCGGTGCTTTGGCACGGCGTTTCTTCGGCAGTCTGCGGGCGAGCTAGCTCAGTTTCTGCAACGCTTGATTTGGGATGTGGCTTAGCGCTTGATTGCGCGAAAGGCCGTCGAATGTTGGCCCTTAGAAGTCTGAAAGGCCCGAACCGTCTCGAAGTAGCGTCCCAAGAGCTCGAACATGCCTCGGAGATCATTGTTGCGCTCATCCAGGCCCACTGTACTGTCCCAGATTGGCATGCCGAGACTGCTATTACCATCTTGTGGTGATCCCTTTGGTGTTTGCGATACCGAGTCCCGTCATGTAAACCAGTATAACGATCATACATGTTATGGTTTTAATGGGCACCCTCCGTTTTCGAGGTCGCGCGTTTTTTCTGATCGTCTCACACGGACGCCAAGCGCCAGCAGGGAGCGTCTACCAGGGTGGACCCCAAGCAGTGGATAATTTTTCCCGATGGACAATCCTTGCTACGCAATGGTATGGTGCAACATACGTGTTGCAATATGTACGTTGCGCTAGTTCCGACGCGACGTATGTTGTACAACAGATTTGGTGCAATGTATGTGTTGCTACTACCTTAATGTGAAGAGGTTAGGGCCGCAAGCTTCAATACTCGAACAAGGATCCCACCCGTCCACCCGCAAGCGATTGGCAACGTTCAACTGACGCGATGACGCGAGGAATTTCTCATATAGATCCGTGACTCGGGCGAGCGAGTGATGAAGGCGACGACATCAGCGACGACGAGGATAATAGTAGTGATAGGGGTGGCGATTATGACGGAGGCGGCCACAAACAACGACTGCGATTGTGGTGATGATGGTGGTGAGGACGACAGTTGCGATCGCGACTACACTGGTGATGGTGGTGAAGATGATGGTGGTGCTGATGGCGACGGCAATGATTACGTTGGCGATGATGGTGATGGTGATGATGAGGATGATGAGGGAGTACACGCCCGCAGGATCTCTGACAGGCGCAGTTTCGAACAGCCATTCCTTACGTGTGTTTCGGCATATGACATATCGACATCGAAGTGTGAGAGAACATATGGTTTTGCAATCCGTTCCGCATCCGGGCGCGAGGACGCGCGCGCGCGGCCATCATCGCAGGATTTGATCGACTTGGCGAGTGCACGATGGGAGTTAGATGGTTGCAGAATGCGCGCGCGTGTGATCCGCATGGTGTAGTTTGAAGGAACGGCAAAACAAATGATTGGCTTCTGATTTCAGCGATTGCGTACACATAATGTTTTTTATATGTACGCATGGGAAATACACATGGTGTTGATAGATGTTGGCGTCGCTGTGATGTCCAGGACGGATTAAATATGTGTGCGCACGCTTGACCGGCACGGTATAGTTTGATACGGACCCCCGCAAAACGCATTTGCCAGACCACCACGTGTGCCCCGCACAGCGGTATTCTACAAGGATGACGGGGGGGGGGGGTCGAATACTGGCCTCCTGCGCATAGTTTTATTTGGTATGCACAGTGGGAAATGTTCCAGAGTAAAGCACGTCGCGCAGTTCGGGAAGCTGTTCCGATATCCCTGGACTCCAGTTGGGTTCACCTTTGCCCGAAGCAGAAGCTACGCGGTGCAACTCACATGGTGCAAGTTACATCCGCGCTACCGGGTACCGTTTGAATCTTCAAGTTGCGGGGCCATACCGGTGGAGGGGGCTTCAGGCGAAACGCCCCGCCCGCCTTACCGACAGGCCTGACGGTCGGACGAGGAGGAGGTACCTACATGGAAATGGAATTGAGGGGGAAAATGGGGGGATGGAGAGGGACAAAGAGACGGATAAGGAGAACACATAGCATGGACTATGGCGACAGGAGCAGTATGTAATATGTTGACGTTGTTGCTGTCTCTCCTGCAGCATGGATGAACTTGCATGCGCTGCGCTCGTCATGACAATGTTTGTTACTGTTGGGTGTTGTAGGACACACTCCGACCGACCACGCGGGCGGATGTTTTGCAAGGCGCCACAGAGGCAGGGACAGCGGCAGCGCGAGGTCACAACGTCGGCGACGTCTACATCGACCGTGACACTTTCAGGCACGACTACGACGTTTGCCACAGAGACGGCCCCCCCCTCCTGCTGTTCTGCTGCCATCGATGCGGGCTCCGAGCAGCTTACTCCTGGGAAGCAGGGAAAGGGTGGCAGGACCAGCGGCAGGAGGGGGCCGGGCTCTTGGCTCTTGATGACGGAGGGCGCGCGTAGCGTGGGACCCGCCAGTTTGGTAAGTTGTGGCTTTGCCCTCAAAGTGATGTCAAGCTTCACCAAAACTCGGAATTGGGCTCCGACTCGCGCATTCCTTCGCCGTTGTCGTTGCCGTCGCGGGCTCGCTCCAGGGCCTGGCGTCCGAGCTCACAGAGCGCTGGGAGGTCAGCTTCTCGCATGCCAAACGCTCTGAGCACCTCCCGCCGCCATCCCGCTGGGTCCGCCAGCTCAAGGGGATAGGGGATCGTGCGCCAAGATGGCCAAGCAGGGCGCCAGGAGGCCACCAGGGTGGCGCCAAAGGGCTCCCAGGGGCCCCCAAGACGGCGCCAAGGTAGCCAACAAGGATTCCGAACATTTGGATTTTCGCGGGGGGCCCGAGAGGCGAACAGCTTGGAACAAACTAGTTGTTCCGATCATCGAGGCCGTGTTTTCTTTTAGGTGTTGTTCTACAAATGGGGCGGAGGAGTTGGCAATGAAAGTTGCGATTGCCCATTCTTACCCAAGAGCTCGATGCTGATGCTGTATGGCTGCTGAACTATGCTGCTTTGAAATTCGCCCAGTACCGTTCTCGACCAGGTGCTGAATGGTTGATGTCAGGCGGTTGTTTGCGGTTCCTGTGTTCGTCTTCGGGGGAACGAAAACGCAGAGGGGAAAGGTTTTTGTTGTTTGATGTTTGGTGCGCGTGTGTGAGTCGAAGGATCTTGATGGTTTGGCTTGGGCATTTTGGGAGCATCTAGGGAAGCTCGTTGGGAGCCTCTTGGGGCCTTCTTTCGGGCCTCCAGGGAGGCATCCTGAGAGCCTTTGGGGGGTTCTTTGGGGGCTTCTTGGGGGCCTCTTTGGACCCTGCTGGTGGCCTCTTGGGGGTGGACGGCCCTGGCGCACCGAAGGCCCTTTTTGAGACTCGGCTCTCCATGCTACCGAGGCCACCCACGCGCTCCACCACGGCAGGCACATCAGGTAAGGACTCGGCCTGCCAGCAGGTGCCCGAGGGCAATGTCTTCTCCCTCGATGGCCTCAGGGGCCACAAGTATCTCTGGGGCGCCTTGGGGCCCTCGAGGATTGACTGGGAACGTGCCCCAAGAGTTCTTGTAGAAAGTGCCGCTGCGGCACGGGCCGCGAACGGGCTCTGTCGTTGCACACCTCCGCCCTCTTCCTTTCTCCAGTTGGGCTCGCGGGGGGGGGGGGCGCCCGCGGCGTCTGCGCTTTCCCCCCCAATTCTGCAGAAGGCAATCGGGGCCCGAGTCTCGCGTCAACACGACGTCCGCCTCGGCCACCCGCGGCGTCTCCTCCTCTTCCTCCTCCTCCTCCTCCTCCTCCTCCTCCTCTTCCTCCTCCACCACCTCCTCGTCGGCGACCTTGTCATCCTCTCCCTCAACGGCCTCCTCCTCCTCCTCCGCCTACTCCTCGTCCTCTTCGATGATCTCCTCCTTTCACGCCACACCGACGTTGATCTAAGCGATCGCCGCATCGGAACGCTCGTGCTGAAAAAGTGTAAGCACATGCGTGGACATGTGCTGAGATACGAGCACCGCTGGGCAGAGAAGAGCGGTAAGGCGGGAAAGTGGAGAATCCAGCTAGGGCGCAGAGAAACACACAACGGCAAGGACTTCCACCCCCCCCCCGCCCACACATCCACATTTCCTCCTCCTCCTCCTCCTCCGCCTCCGCCTCCGCCTCCGCATCCTCCTCCTCCTCCTCCTCCGCCTCCTCCTCCTCCTCCTCCACCTCTTCCTCCTCCTCACCCATCCCCTTTCTTGAAAGGGCAACCTTTCCCTGTCGCACCTCGACGCGAGCCTGTCAGACGGGCAGGCCGTTTCGCATAAGACTCCCTCGCCATTTTTAACACTGAATCGTGACATTTGCAACAGCTCCACAGATGGAGGTGGGCCATTTTCAAAATTCAGTTCTCCCTTGAGCGCCGCGCACATTCGTGTTAAACTTGTGCAACAGTTTCACGGATGGATGGCGGGCAATTTTCGAAATGTGGTTGTCGCCATGGCGCCGGGATGGAGGGCGGTTGGTTTTCAACATGTGGCTCTCGCATTAGCGCCGCGCAGATTCTTATGGTCGACGTCCCAGAAAGAGCATGTCGGAACGATTTTAGATTGTCAGGGCGCGACAGTCAGTTTGATTCCCGGTGCTGCGTTTCCAGGAATGGTGTTATGGAGCGATTTGGCCAGGTCGCAACAGTGACGTTGAGTCGTGGCGTCGAAGTCCCAGGATTTTTTGTTTTTGCGCGGTTGGGGGTTTTCAGACGGTTGTCTTCCAACGGGGCTCTTCCAGCAGCGGCAGTACATTTTTATAGGAGCCCATGAAGGGGAATTTGGAGGGAGCGTGTATTGTAACATCGTTGAACAGTCCTGGGTTTACACTGGTCCTCGTTTTCCTCCTCCAAGAGCGCCCTCGTGGCCCGATCTCAGGCCGGCGCGAGGCCACCCGCCCTGCACCGCTCATCCTCTTTCTGTAACCCACGTCCTCGTCAGCTTCATCTCCCCGTCGCTCGTCGCCCTCGTCCCCTCGTTCGCCCGTCGTTTTCTCTTCCTCCCTCCTTTTCATCCTTCCTTGCTCTCGTCCCTCCGCCGTTCGCCGCCCGCCCGCATCTCCTGCCCGCCCTTCGGCCGCAGCTCCGAGCGATTGTGGCCGAGGCGCGGCCACACTCGGGACAGCGGCCTCCCCACATCTCGGAGTTATCCTCCCCCCTCTGCACCGTCTGGTTGCTCAACCGGGGTTCCCCTCCCTCCCGTCGGGGCGTACATCCTGTTCCTCCTCCCCCTCCTTCCCTCGTCATCTTCGTAACCGAGAGGGAGCTTCGGTTTGGCTATTGTCCCCCTCTGGTGCCAGGGAGGGTGTGCCCTCCTTTCATGGGATGCGAGGGAGCGCCATTCCATTTTCAATGTCAGCGTTCGTGCGATAGCGACGGACGGTGGCGTGGAGCGGCGAAGTCGCTGGCCACCGCGGCGAAGCTCGGCCGAGCCCTGCCATGGGCCCGCCTCGTGCCCGCATCCTGTCGGACCAGGCCCCAGGCTTGCCAAAGGGCGATTACGCCAACTGCGGCAGCTCCTCCTCCTCCTCCTCCTCCTCCTCCGCCTCCTCCTCTTCCTCCTCCTCCGAGGGTGCGGCTGGGACTTCCGCAGCCAGGCAGAGTGCGACCAGTGCGGCCTGCAGCTCGGAGCAGGCAAGGGCCGAGGACCAAGCCATAGAAGCAGAGGCAAAGGCTGCAGCAGCAAAGGCGGCAAGAACCATGGAGGTGGCGACGGAGCGGCAGGCGCTGGGACGAGGGCCCCCTGGCGCAGGACCCCCTTTGGCTCGCGTGGCCGGCGCCAGCTGGCCCCGCGGGCAGTGGACTGGCCGCCGCTCGGCGCCAAGGCGACGCAGCTCGGCCTGGAGAGGGCCATCAACCTGGCCAAGGAGATGTTCCCAGCCAAGCAGTTCGCTAAGGAGCAGGAGGCAGCCAGGCCAGCGGTTGAGGCTTCCACATCCCAGCCACGCGTGCCCGAGACTGATTTCGCAACGGCCTCGGAGGGCTGAGGCCAATCGGCAGTGCAATGCTCTCGCCGAGGAGGAGGCGCAGATCTGATACGAGGCGTGGTGCCGCGGCAAGACGTCGGACGCGGCCGAGGCGGCCGTGCAGGCCAAGGCGCGGCTCAGCGAGGCCCATCAGGTATTGGCCGCCAAAGCACAGCCCCGCATGTGCGCCCTGGCCCATAGCGCACTTGGCCATGCTGTGGCGCCGCCAGCGGGCACGGTCCTCCACCAGTCCGGCATCCTCGAGAAGACCGATGGGATGGCCTTCGTGGACGGCGATCTCATTGAGTTGGAGGGGCTGGGCGTCACCGCGGAGGAGCACGACCAGTTCGACAAGGTCAAGGGGGGCTTCAAGGCAGAGCTGGGCAAGGCAGTCGGCAGTGCAGTCGGCGCGGCAGCCTCAGACCTCAAGGAACACAGGGACCAGCTCGCTGCACTGGCCACCAGGCTCAAGGCAAAGGAGCGCAAGGTCGACTCCAACGTCGGCGAGCAGCCAGGCCCAGGCGGCGCCCCAGCAGCCAGCAGCGGCAGCGAGTGCGAGACGCCCAGCAGCAGCGCCGACGGCCGAGGCGGGAGCAGCAGGCCCCCCGTGAATAGAGCCTGAGGGGCAGCCGGCGGGGGCGGTGGCAGCAGCGGGCCCTGGCCATCCCGAGGCCAACGGAGCCGCCAAGGCCAACCTACCATGGGCTTGAGGGTCGGGGTGTGCCAGCTGCTCCTCGAGCGCGCCATGACTTGGCACGGCGGGCTCTCGACGCCCCGTCTACCCCGGGGTCGCCATGGCGCAAATTGCCCAGCGCGGCGCATCTAGCACCCAGAAGATGGACCTCCAAGCCCTGCCGAGATCTCCGATGGGATCTTTGGCGATGCATGTCCCGCCGGTCACAAATCACATGTTTGGCTGGATAGAGTGGGGCCTGGTTCCGCGCATTTGCGGCTCCGCTCGCTAGACGGCAGCGGCGGCCCCTTCCACCTGGGGCCGCCGCCCGCAGCACTACGCGACGAACCGCTCGAAGGCCAACCTCCTCAGCCTTGCGCGCGACGGCCCAGGCGCGCTGCCGATGCGGCGCCCAGCTGGGCGGCCGATAGGGAAGAAGACGGTCGCCGACGAACGGCCGAGGAGAAGCACGACGTCGCCCAAAGGCGCGGCCGCAGGAGGCGACCGTGGGCGGCGGCGCCCGCGGACACCGTCTGCATGGACGTTGGCGCGGCCGCGGGCGCCCCGCGCGTTTTGGAGGGCGCGCGCCCCATCTGGCTCAAGGCCCGCGTCGGTATCCCTTCGACAGACGGCGCGGCCAGGGATGCGCATTCCCCTGAAGCCGTCAGCGTGGCGGCAGAGGC